CAATTATTGACTATTGAGGGATAAAATGGAAAGAGAGAAATACGTCCTGAATGAGCAGTAATTGGAGGATTCCCTCTTTTAATAGAAGAAGGATATAAATACTTTTGATTATACAGTTTGCATATTTGAAATGCATTTTTAGCAAGTAAATTAATACGAAACTAAAATAATCAACTCGCATATTTATACGAAATTAAAAAAAGGATGCCTGCTGCGCAGCAGCAGTAGCTGGGCAGCTACAGCTGCTAGCTGTTATTCAGTGCCCTCGATATGCCCCCTTGTTTTTTCCCATCAAAAACCTCAACAACAGCCATCTGACTATCTGAGAAACCACCTTGAAGTCATCGGCCTTGGCAGAGAAATATATACTTGTTTTCTGATTTTCCACAAACAGTCAAAAATGTCTGAGACAGGGGCCCACAGTTTCACCATTAACATTGATAAGATCCTTAAGAGCTCGTCTCTTACACCTTCAGAACCCTCAATGTTTAGAGTTGGTGATCATTTACGAAGCATAAATCCAGAGGCTTACGATCCAGAAATAATAGCCTTTGGCCCATTTCACCGAGGTAAACGTAACTTGCAAAAGATGGAGCTACACAAAGTCAGGTATCTAAAGCTGTNCACAGTAAACCTAACTTGCAGAAGATGGAGCAGCACAAAGTCAGGTATCTAAAGCTGTTGCTTCAAAGAATAAATGAGACAAGTGTAGGAAGATGCGTTACCGCAATACTACCCTTAGAAGACAGGGCACGGAAATGTTATGCAGAAGACATCGACCTTGATGTAGAAACATTCGTGCAAATATTGATTTTTGATGGTTGTTTTATCATCGAATTTCTACAAAGAATGCGGCATGAAGGTAACCCCATTTTCCAGCATAAGCATATACAAAGTCATTTGCTTCATGATCTAGTGCTATTTGAGAATCAGATTCCATTTTTCATTGTTGAATGTTTGTTCAACATGATCGAGTTCAAATATGAAGACCAGGGCTGGTCCTGGCCCAAGGCAACTAAGGCCACTGCTTTGGGCCTCAAATTTTTAGGAGCCCCTAAGAAAAAAAAAACCCAAGCATCTTCTTTGGGCCTCAAATAGTAAAGTGCCCAAAAAAGCCTCCAAAAGCCCCAAATAAAAATACCTCAAATACCTAATTCCTTACTTGTTACCATCTTCAACTCTTCGGTCTTCTTCATCTTCTCGGCTTCTTCAAGACTTCAACAGACCAGGATCAGAGGGGTATGAACATGTTTTTTCCTTGCACAATCTTTTCTTATGTATGTATCTATATATGGGTTTTTTGGGTTCATCGTGAATCTTAGTTTTAGAGAATTTTTCTGGTTTTTGGGGTCCGGATTTATCAGTTTTTGTCAGTTAATTTTAATCTTATGAATACGATTAGGATTTTTTTATGGAGATCATTTCTATTAATAATCTTTATGCAATAGAGGTAAATGTTTTATAGATAAAAAAATTCAGTGTGTAGTATGTTTCCATCTCTTTGATAGTTGCAATATATTAGTATATTTTTATTTTTTAAGCAAAATTATTTCATATTTTGTAAGGTTATGGTTTATTTATTTATTTATTATTTTTTATCTTCAAAAAATAAATTCCAATCTTGTGAAGTTTTTTTAAGTTGTGGCATGGAAAATGTTTCTTTGACTGGATGAGATGCATATGATGAAAATTTTGTATACAAAGCAGTGGGAATTTTAATAAAACCTAGCTTCAAATTGATGGGATTTATTTTTTGTCGAAAATCAAATTAAGAGACAACATCATCAATTTTCTAATATATCCTTTACTGCACTTTAACATTTTCCCAGTGCCAAGGGAAGATCTTCCTGAAATACTCCTTGTCAATGCTCTCCATCTTGTTGGCATTGTACATGACATCCAGTGTTCTTCCTTTGCAACGGTAGTATCTCCGATGGATGCTGGAAATCCATGTAAAGTGGCTAATATAAATTCAGTTGTAGAGCTCAAAGAGGTAGGGATTTCCATCCAAAAGTCAGCATATCATAGTTTGCTTCGTATTGAATTCGAAAATAAAGCTATGAAGATTGCAGAATGAGAATTTTTTGATTCAACAGAATCGTTGTTCCAAAATTTGATTGCATATGAGTACTACCTCATAGGCAGTTCTCAAAAATATGTGACAGACTATGTATTCTGCATGCATTGTCTTGTCCATTCCCCTGAAGATACAAAATTGTTGCGATTTTGTGGAATCGTTAACAACCTTTTGGGGAGCGATAAAATAGTTTATCATGTCATCAACCAGTTAGGCAAAAATATCATAGTTTTTGAAAGTTTTTGTATTCTAATATTTTCAAAATTGTGAACCATCAATGTCGCAGCAAATGGAATAGAAAGATGGCAACATTAAGACGAAATTATCTCAACAATCCATGGGCATGCATTTCAGTCTTTGTTGTCGCTCTCTTGCTTGTGCTCACCATCATACAGGCTATTATTGCTGTTCTCTCATATCGTAAGTTATTTCCTAAGTCTTGTATGCATTTAATTAATCATTTGCATATTTTAGCATTTGTTTGGAAAATGTATAAATGGTTTACAAACATGAATATTAAAGGGTCTTACAAAATGTTATGAATGCGTTATTGTAATTAATGTTTGACTTTGACGGAATATATAAAATGATTTATAAATTGTATCCAAATTGAGGCTTAGTGTAGAAATACCTCTCTTTAGTCTGCTGAATCTTGATTTTTTTAACATTCATTCAATGTACAGGCCATCATAGAAATTTAAACACTATTATAATTCAGGATATTCTAGGCTCTATATCGTCCTTGAAGTTAATAGTAATTGGAGTTGCCATACATTTTTGCTAGCTTCAAACACTTAGTGTGTGTTTGAATCTCATTAAAATGAGAATATAATTTTTGGAATAGTGATTTATGGGAGAATGTGGTGAAAAAGTGATGAAAAGTTTTAGATTTGTGTGTAATATTATTTTATTTAAAGAATGTGTGGTTAAAATGAAGAAAGAAAAAAAAAATGAGAATGAAAATGGGATTAAAATGGGTGTCAAACAAGGGCTTTGAATAAGTTCCCCTTCTTGAGATCATTGCCTGCAATAACATGTACTCATTTAAATAATTGGATAATCAAATATAAATTTCTCTTAGTAGTTCACGTGACTATCACACAACAAATGTATCAGCAATGCATTTCAAAGAAACATAGAAGCTTCCTTTTTAACGAAACAATCCAAGATCAATTCATAATAGCTTACTTGACGGGTCTTTCTACAAGCTTTCATTTGGATATAATTTATAAATTGATTTATATATTAATTACAATAACGCATTCATAACATTTTGTATGATCCTTTAATATTCATGTTCCTGTTTGTAAACCATTTTTACATTTTCCAAACAAATGCTAAAATATGCAAATAATTAATTAAAAACATACGAGACTTAGGAAATAACTTACGGTATGAGAGAATAGCAATAATAGCCTGTATGATGGTGAGCACAAGCAAGAGAGCTGCAGCAAAGACTGAAATGCGTGCCCATGGATCGTTGAGATAATTTCGTCTTAATGTTTTCATCCTTCTATTCCATTTGCTGCGACATTGATGGTTCACGGTGATGAAAATATTAGAATACGAAAACTTTTTAGAAACTATGATATTTTTGCCTAGCTGGTTGATTACATGATAAACCATGTTATCGCTCCCCAAAATGTTGTTAATGATTACACAAAGTCGCAATAATTTTGTATCTTCAGGGGAATGGACAAGCCAATGCATGAAGAATACATAGTCTGTCACATATTTTTGAGGACTACCTGTGAGGTAGTACTCATATACAATCAAATTTTAGAACAACGATTCTGTTAAATTAGAAAATTCTCATTCTGCAATATTCATAGCTTTATTG